ACACACACACACACACACACACACACACACACACACACACACACACACACAGAAAGAGAGGCCCTGGGCAAGGGATGAAATGATGCAGGGCTGCTGGACCAGAAAGGACAAGAATGTGAGATGAGAAGAATGTGAGAAGCCTGTGCTGTATCTTGAGGACCAGTGAAGGGCCGTACTTCTATAATGTAAATTCTCCTGGCCCTGGATACTTGCATATATCAGGCTATCAATTCCCACCATGAATGAGGTGTGTTACCTAGGAATGGCTGCAGGAAGCCCTGGAATATAGTGATGAATGCTATCAGTTATGGGCAGAAAGATTTGGGCTGGCGTCTTGCTTCTCCTATATACAGCTGTGCACTTGGACTCTCTGTGCCTCAGATTCTGCACAAATCCCTTGGCTCAGCATCTAGCACACAGTCTTCTAACTAGAGTCACTGGTTTTAAGTCTCAATACCCCCCAGACCCTAGTGAGAGTAGACTGCACCCAGCCTCTGAATCCTTAACACAAAGACCACAGGGCCCATTCTATAATGCTCTTAAACAGGATTTAGCAAGCACCCGGTACATGGCAGGTACTCAGGAGTGGGCTGATCCTGTGGCAGGGGTAACTCAAAGGGACTGGAGCAATGGCTCAGAGCTCACGCAGAGTTCTCACCGATCTCCTGCGATAGGGACTCCAGATACTTCGCCTTCAGTTGTTCTTCTTTAGATTTCTTCATCTCCTTGAAGTAGTCATAGACTTCCTGGGGCAGCTTCTCCCCCGGGTTCCGGGTAGGAAGCAGCAGGGTGTTGTAGGAGTCATAGCCCTTCAGCTGTCTCAACATCTGCTCAAGGGGAGAATGAGAATTACTGTTGGCCTCACTGGAGTTTCCTCTTGCTCACTGGCCTCACTGAAGCCCCGCTCCTACCAGACACTGAGATTTATAGAGATGCTTTGTGGGTTTCACATGGTAGAGGACCCTGTGGAGAGGCCTAAAGGTAGAGGCGAACCCTGAACTTACAGGGATCCAAAAATCTTTATTTTGTTCCGTACCCACCCAAGCATTTAACATGTGGAGACAATTTTCTTCTTCCTTTGAAAATAGCACAATACATTCTCCTAATAACAAACATAGAATTCTATTATCCACTCTGAGTGGTTCATTTTTAAAAAGTACAGTCACATATCAGCTAATGAGAGGGGTGTGTTCTAAAACGAGATATTCGTTAATAGGTGATTTGTCATCGTTCTAAAACATAGTCCATAAGATGGCTATGATGATGCCTCTAGGTGAGCTAATCTTATGGGACAATGTTATACATATATTGTTATTGTTAACTAATAGAGTAATGGAGTTGTAAATTACAATAACAATATCTGGGAATTCCTGATGAAACTCATTATTCTGTGTACTAACTAAAAACTCACAATAAAAAGTAACTAATAATGGATCTTTAAATGGAAAGCAAACAGTAAAAAAGAAGCCTTGCAGTATCAGAAAGAAAATGATAAATAATGGGGAGAGTAAAAAGAGAATGCTTCTCCTTATCTGGGGTTTTCTAACAAAAATTATAAAGTTATTTTCTATAAGGAAAGATTCAAGACAATTACATTAAAGTGAGGAGAGTGAACCCCAACTGGTCATGAGAAGTTACATAGACATAATGTAATATGTGTAGCAATAACTAAAGAAGTTATAAAATTGTCCAGAGAAATTGAGATGGAATGCTAACCAACACAGAGGGATGCACACGGTATATACTCACTCATATAGACATATAATATAGGATAAACCTACTAAAATCTGTACACCTAAAGAACTAATCAAGAGGGAAGACTCTTGCTAAAACACTCAATTCCTATCCAGAAAGGCAAAGAGGCTGGACATCAGAAGAAGGAGAAAAGAGGGAACAGGTCAGGAGCCTGACACAGAGGACCTCTGAAAGGCTCTGCCCTGCAGACTATCAATGTAGATTCTTCCCAGCAGTGTATCAAAGCAGATGCTGAGACTCATAACCAAACTTTGGGCAGAGTGCAGGGAATCTTAGGAAAGAAGTGGGAAACAGTAAGATCTGGAGAGGACAGGAACTCCATAAGGAGAGCAACAGAACCAAAAAATCTGAGCACAGGAGTCTTTCTTGAGACTGATACTCCAACCAAGGACTATGAATGGACGTAACCTAAGACCCCTGCACAGATGTAGCCCATGGCAGTTCAGTATCCAAGTGGGTTCCATTGTGATAGGAACAGGGACTGTCTCTGACATGAACTGATTGGCCTGCTCTTTAATTACCTCCCCCTGAGGGGGAAGCAGCATTACCAGGCCACAGAAGAGGACAAGGCAGCCACTCCTGATGAGACCTAATTGACTAGAATCAGAAGGAAGGAAAAGGGGTCTTCCCCTAGCAGTGGACTTGGGGAGGGGCATGCATGCAGAGGGTGGAGGAAGGGAGGGATTGGGACGGGAGGAGGGAGGGAACCACGGGAGGGATTCAAAGTGAATAAAGTGTAATTAATAAAGAAAAATAAAATAAAAAAAGAAAAAAAACATTGAAAGGACTGATAAGTATGCAGCACAAAGTACACAGAGAACAAAAAAAGCAAAAACAAAACAAAAAGGCAGATGTAAGCCTTACTGTATCAACAATTACATTAAATGTAAATGCTCTATATTTTCAAACTAAGGGCAGAGATTGGCGCAGTGCACATATTTTAAAATAGTTTATTTTTGTGTATGTTTTTGTGTGCATGTGAATGCACAGAGTATAGGTTGATATCCACTATCTCAATCACTCTCTGCCTTTTCTTTTCTTTTTTGACTTAGGGTCTTTTACCAAATTTGAAGCTTACTGATTCAGCTAGCCTCGATGATTCTAAGGAATCTTCAGGAAACCCCACCTGTCTCTGCCCTCCCAGTGCTAGGATTATAGATGTGCATTATTGTGCCTGGCTTCTTCAGATGGATGCTGAGGATTGAATTCAAGTCCTTATGCTTTAAAGGAATGAACTTTACTGACTAAATCATCTCCGCAATCAGTGCTTTTTAAGTGCCCCAAATACAGGAAGCCTAAAAGCAAGTCATTTCAAATATAATGGCAAGTTGTTACATGAGTTCTTTACTGTGAAAATGCTGGCCATAAACATGTACTGGATTTTTAGTTTGTTTAAAAATGCAGACTGGAATTACAAAAAAGTAGCAAGTTATTATGGGGAGAGAAGCAGGTGGAGAAAGTCTACAGAGAAAGGATTGGTAAATTGACAAGCAAAGAGGAGGGGGAAAGCCCAGAGGGAAGGCAGCGCGCACAGAAGGACGTGTCAGGGGCGGGGTCTGCCATGTCAGGAAGGGCATTTGGCTTTGGTCTCTGCTCACCTTTTCTTCTAAGAGGTACTGCTGGTCAAATTCTAGGGAGTAAAACTCAATGGGGAAGCTGCAGGGGTTCCTCACAATCACCTCGGCCTCGTCTCCTGATGCGTAAGGCAGGAGGGGCCCTAGTTCCAGGACTGAAGGACTGAATTCCAGGCGTGGCTCCAGACCTTGGCCATGTGCCAGAAGAATGAGCTTCTGAGGGCTCTGGCTAATCTGGAACACCAGGGATTGGTTGTAGAATTTCTAGAAAAAAAAATGGAAACAAAATAAACTTCCCCCCTCTACAACATACAATGTAAAACTGAGAGCTCTGAAGGGAACAAATGTCCTTGTTCCCCAGTGAAGAGAGACATATTTCCCTCAGAGCTGAGGAAGAGCAGTCACTGTGGTGGCATACAGGTATGCTGGGTATATAACCTCCTAGGCACTGCACCAGGGGCTCAGTCACTTAGAGCAGGCTTTCCAATGTCACCCTCAGGTCTGTGGGTTTCCTGTATGAGCATCACTGCGATGGGCCCAAGGCTGTCAATGCCCATGGGCAATAGAGGGTGTAGTAGGAAAGCCAGGAAAGTAATACCTTCCAGGAGCAGTGACTTCCGCCAATGATGACCAGGAACACGGCAAACATCCCATCTCCTCTGCTCCTTAGTGATATCTCCCTCATTGAGAAGAGATAAAAATCCAAAACCAGGCTGAGCCTAGCTCAAGTCCCAGTACCACAAATAAAATAAAATAAAATAAAATAAAATAAAATAAAATAAAATAAAATAAAATAAAAGAAAATAAAAGAAAATAAAGCCTAATCTTGGCTAAACCCTTTCTAGTCTTAAGGTAGTCTGTCTGTCTCTCTCTCTCTCTTTCTCTCTCTCTCTCTCAATACATTCATTTACTTTATATATATATGAGTGCTCTATTTGCATGCATGCCTGCATGCCTGAAGAGGGTATCAGATCCCCATTAGATGATTGTGAGCCACCATATAGTTGCTGGGAATTGAACTCAGGACCTCTGGAAGAACAGAAAGTGTTCTCAACTGCTGAGCCATTTCCCCATTTCTTTAAGACCTTCTTAAGAACAGCAAGCATGTTGCCAATTTCCCTCTAAAGGCGTGAGGGAATCAGGTGCGCTAGTGCACACACTTGTAGTCCAGCAGAGGCAGACGCTCATAGCAAGCCTTAGGCCAGCCTGGTCTACTTAGCAAGCTCCTTGCCAGCAAGACACACACAGTGGGACCCAGCAAAACGCATGAGGAGGAGGAAGAGGTGGGGCAGGGAAAAAGGGCAAGGAGACAGAAGGAGAGAAGGACCAGGGAGGGCAGAAGGGAGACAGAAGGAGAAGCTTCAACATCAACAGCATTATTGATAGACTTTGATAGGTAGGAACACAGGCTTCATTTTAGAATGAAATCGAAAGTTATTTACTTGTCTACTTTCCTGCTGCAGATTCTGAAACATTTTTTTCAAAGCTATTACCAGGAAAACGGAAGCTAGGCATTTATTGTGTAAAATTCACATAGATTTTTTTTTTCTTATAAAAGAAAATATATGCAGCATGGGGCTACATGCCTATAATCCTGGTACATGGGAGGCTAAGGATCGAGAGTTCAAGGTCATCTGAAGTGCTACCTGGTGAGTTCCAGGCCATCCCGGGCTACATAAAACCCTGTCTTTGAAAATCATCAAAAGGAAAACATCACTCAGATGTCTTTAGCTTTGAATAAAAGCTGTCATGGCGGGACTTCTTGAGATTCCTTCTGGGTCTGGGATTTTAGAATCCTTGCCATGTTCTCCATTAGGAGTGGCTCTGCACTGATGGCATTCAAAGAAGAGACATTTATGAGGTGCAGGGAGGCTTTCTGCCAGGAAGCACTGGCTACCACGATGACTAAGCCCTGGCTACCTCGATGGCTGAGGGCTTCTGCATTTGTCCTGCTAATAGTTCCCGGGTCACTGATGACACACGAAGTGCCCTCTGTGCTCTGTTCGTGTCGTTAATCTTCAAGATGGCCCTAAGAGGCATGGGTGCAGCTTGGTACTAGCCTATCTGAAATCTCAGTGTCCAGCTGCTTTTAAATTCCGATCTCTAAGAAGGGAAGCGCGGTGCGGATAGGCTCTGTTACCCGATGCCCTAAGCAGTCTCGGCAAGGTCTCCCATAATGAAACACATTAATATTTCGGCACTTGCAATGTTTGAAAACTAAGAGAGGCCAAACAGTCATGCCAGTTCAAATGAGATTCCTCTACTGAGCGAGTCTTAATATGAAACTTATGAAATCTCAGCCCCCACTTTTTTAAGCTTATTGGATTTCAGAATTGCAATAAGAGAGTTGTGATGTGGGAATATTATTGCTTTTTATGTTACCAACGAACAAACTGAGGTTTAGTCAGACAAGTGATTTGTTCAAAGATGCACAGCCTGTAAATACAGAAGCAGCATGCCGGTAATATTGTGCCACTGAGAAAGCTGGTATGTTACCCGCATCTGCTGAGCCACACCCACTGGGTTACACAGCCTGTAGGTGGACTTGAACATGTCATGTTCAGAATGGAAGGCACAAGCCTTAGACATGACCTTCAACCTCTAAGAGACCCAGAAGTAAGATCTCTACAAATCCTCATTTTTTTTTTCAAGCTCACCTCTTCTTTAGGCATGAATTTCACCTGCACATTGGCCTTCTCGCCAGCATCCAAGACTCCAGAAACGGGCTGGATCTCAAAGATCCGGGACTTTGGAATCATCTCAGCGTGTACTTTTCGTTTTAAATACTTTGGCATGTGTTTATCCATCTGGGTTATAAATGTTAGACAATCAGATCACGGATGTAAAAAACAGATCTATTCCATTCATGGCTCATCCTCGCTACATTTCCTGAGTGCTTTCCAGGTATCAGGGAATGTACAGCAGAGGCAGAAGAGAAGTGCCACATTCTACTCAAAGGCAAGGCCTGATGCTGCTCTGAGTGCTAAGCTTGGGGACTGGGAAATGGTTAACATTGAGACTCTTCCAACAGGAAGTTAAGATGACAGTAGGGAAAGGCCTAGAATCCCAACTACGGCTAAGGCAGAAATGGAGAGAAGGAAAAAACAACTCACCTTGTTAGTAGGCTGTGGTAGGCAGACAAACCATTCACAAGGGACTTGGAGATGGTTGGAAAGCTGAATGGTTTCCACCATGCATTGTCCGCACTGAGTTGTAGCAAATTCTACTTTGTTGCAAGACAGGGTCATACTTGGAATGGTCACGGTAGCTTGGAGCAGGAGGTGAATGGTTGGCCCTCCAAAAACCTGGAATGGACAGAAAATTGCAGTTACCATGCAGCTTGCAGTTAGGAAAACACCACTACCACCACCACCACCACCAAAACTGTCTCAGGCTGGAGATGTAGCTGAGTGGTGGAGATCTTGCCTAGGACGCTCACAGCCCTGCTTTTGATGCCCGGTATGGTATCATCCTGAGACTCTCGACAGGCCTGGCTGGGAAGGCCATGTAGGCCCAGTGGTACACTTTACCTTGATGGGCAGAACGACTTCTTTGGTGCCCACAGGAGGATTAGCCCCTTGTGGGTCAAATCTCACTTCAAATGTTTCTGTCTCACAGTAAGGTAGATTCTTTACACGGTCTAGCTCGGTGCTGAAGCCTGGACCAAGACAAAAAAAACATTTTTTTTTTTCAGGAGTGAGAAAAACAAACAGCACATAGAAGCTGCTCTGTGTAGCAGCCACTCTGGGATAAGCTGACCAGAGTATCACCGAATAGCCCAGAAACTCCTTTAGCTGAGTCCAGAAGCAGCAGGAATGCTGTCCTAGAAGGACGGGGCATGCAGCTGGGCTCCTGGTACCTGTATCATGAAGGACATGCTTTTCTGCATGGAAGGACACTGAAAGGTGACTGGTGTTGGTGATCCTGATGATGTGGGTACGGACGTCACCAAGCACGATGTAGCCAAAGTTCAGGACGTATTCTGGTAGCTGGATTCTGAAACAGTTAAGAGGATGTTCTTATTAGTCACTTTCAAGCCTGGAAGGTCCCACATGTGTTCTCTCCATGCAGCTTTACTTTTCATGGTGGAGAACAGCTAAAGACCACTAGATAGAGGCTAGAAACTCCATGCACCCTTCACAAGCCCACTTGTGTGTTTTGGCCATTATCCAGAAACATGTTCAGTGTGGGGACCCACACTGATTTGGAGAGCCAGAATTGCCTGATGTTAGGGGATGATGGGTAAGATGACACATGTGGCTTTCAGTCCCAGATGATCAATCAGTATTTCAAGAGACACAAGGAACTGTTTGTTTCACCACACTTTAAAGCAAAGGTAACACAGACACAAAAGGACCCTCACTTGGCTAGCTTGCGGCGATTCCGATGGCTGAAGCAGTTTTCCTCTGTGGTACTCGAGGAGATGGTTTTCTGGTGCTCCAGGGCATAGTCTTGGACTATGAGTCTCTCTACCTCCATCTGGAGGTGAGTACTTATCTGTAGCAGGGGAAGAACAATTCAAAGGGTTGTTTCGGAATATGCATTCTCTTTGTTTATTCATTGTTGGTAAGAATTTTTTTCATAAAGGGCAAACTCCTGTTTCTTAACGTTTTCTATGTTTTCAGTGTGTACTAAGTAAAGAGGAGTTTCACGATGAATAAATTCTCATACACTTATAAACGAGGAAGGTTTTAAAAATGTTTTTAGATTTGTTTGTTTATTTCATGGATATGAAGGTTTGGGCCTAGGTGTGTGTGTGTGTGTGTGTGTGTGTGTGTGTGTGTGTGTGTGTTTGTATGTGCTTATGTGCCTGTTGCCCATGTAGTTCAGAAGAGGGCCTCAGATCCCCCCGAACTGGGGTTAGGGATGGTTGTGAGCCACTGTGTGTGCATCGGGAACCTAACTTTGATCCCCTGGAAGAGCAGCAAGTGCACTCACATGCTGAGCCAGCTCCCTCTCACCCCAAACAATATAATTAGAACATGTTTTGACACGGGCTGACGAGATGGCCCAGCAGGTGGAGAGGCGTTTGCTGCCAAGTGTGGTGACTGAGTTCAATCCCTAGGTGGAAGGGAGAACTAACTCCCAGAAGCTGCCCTTTCGCTGTCTCGCTCTGTGATATGTGCATAATCCCCTGACATAAATATATAAATAAGCATTTTTAAAAATGAAATGTTTCGACAAAATTTCTTAAGTACCACAGAGCTACTGTGTGCTTTTCTCCGCATGATTTCAGCTTCGATGGCCATTTTCTATAGTTCTATGCAAGGGTGCAAGGTTAGGATGTTCTACCCCCAGCCCCACCTCCCTCTTCCCCACCCATATCCCTTTCTCAGTCCACTGATAAGGGAGGTCCTCCTCCCCTTCACTATGTGAAGATGTGTGTCTGTGGTTCTGTGTGTCTGTATGTGGACCCAGAGGGCCACAGAGGCCAGAGGCATCAGATCCCTGGAGTTAGTCTGACAGGTGGTAAGTTTCTTATTGCAGAGGGTAGTGTTTAACGAATTCTTTTGTAAGAGTTCTAAGTGCCAAGAATAAGTAATTGTGAGTGTTGAGCTGTAGAAGGCACATCAATATCGCTCTCCCCACACAGAGCCTTGGGGGACATCTTGGGAGAGGGGGTGGAGAGTATATAAGCTCAGAGGATAGGGCAGAGTGCCAGGAAGGGCTGGCCGCTGGACGTGGTGTGGCTGTCACAAGCGCGAACACGCAACTTCTGAAGTCACCTGCACCTGCAGATCAAGTCAGCTAAAAATTCCAGCATGGAATGGGAAGGGCTTCCCCTTGCTCCACCCCTTGCAGAGCAGGCAGTGTCAACTGATGGCTCCTAATGGAGGGAGACTTCCCTTGGGGAGGGGTGGATCTCAGTTGGTAGGCTGCTCATGTCCCAGTAGATGACATCATACATATAAGCATACGAGAAGCTCTAAATAGATTTGATCGGTTTTTTTAAAAAGGGCATGGAGTTGGGAGGGAGATGGGAGCTGTGTTGGGGTGATGGGAAGCTGGAGGGAGTGAGTAGGGAGATACATTTGTGGCTAAGACACATTAGAGACGTGCATGAGATTTTCAAAGAATAAAAAGAAAACAATTTTATGATTAGTAATAGGCCATCTTGACTATTGCCCTTCCTCCCTTTCCTACCAAAACCTGTTTTTCCTCCTCAATTTTCTCTCCCAATACGCCATCTTTATGATGCATCCAAGAGAAACATCATCCCTACATCATCCTGTATCCAATCAACCCTGACCATTCCAGGTCTGGGATATTCATGGTCCCTACTCAGCTCTTCCTGGACTGATTGTCATCACCACTATTTGCACCACTACTACTTCCCACTAGAATCATCCCAACAGCTTTATACCCTTATGCCCTCTTATCTGCTCATATTCCATTAAGCCCTGCCACCTTAGCCCTCCTTAAGACAGCTACAAGGATGTTTCGGAGATGCAAAGTCAATTATGCCATAGTAATTCCAGTTAAAACATTCTAGTGGCTTCTTCTTGCCCTCGGGAAATATCGAAAACTCTTAATGGATTCTCCTGATAGTTGCTCACCTATGTGGGCTCATCTTGCCTTCTTTTCATGCTCCTCTTTTGCCTTGGCTGTGTTTTTCTCCACTTGGTTTCTGGGATGTTCCATGTCATCCTTCTACCCCTCTTAGCACATGATCCCTTTCTCACATGCATTCTGTGCAAGGCGCAACTACTCTTACCTCCGCTGTCTCCTCCTCAGTGACTTCCTCATTTAGGAACTCACAGTGATCAATACTCTTATATTCTTTTGCTGTGATTTTCTTTGCTTGCTCTAAGAAACGTTCATACTTTTCATTCCCTGTTGGGGGTGGAGGGGAGGGAAGTATCCTGGTCAGACATAGAGATGTGCTGTGCCTCAAACGGTAGACTCTCATTTCAGGGGGGAAGTGAGGAGGAAAGAACATTTTGACACTTCCCCTACCACATTTTCTCTACTTTGGAGAGAGAGGTGATTTGTGAGTGAGCTGAGTTTGTACCCAAGTGAGACCTCACTGAGCTTAATGACATAACACGTGAGCTATGAGCTGGTCCCCAAGAGAATGAGGCATTACTAGACTCACTTGGAACTCTGCTCAGTTCTCATATTAAACCTCCACCCTACAGCTCCCTTCAGTGCTGGACAAACCAAGTTAGCTAGTCATGCTTTCAGCGGCTTTCCACATACTAAGTCCCTCCCAGATAATAGAAAGGATGTGCTTAGGGCCAAGCTACTTTAAATCTGAGTGATTCATGATGTCCTCAGTGAAGGAGGGTCAACAGTTGGCAGAGGTAAGCCGACACTAGGCTTACCAAAAGTCATTGCAAATGCTTTGGAGGTAAAAGTAGGCAAAGAAATTAAAAAGCCTTTTGTCAAAAAAACATGGGATATGTTGAAGCTGTAGTCAACACCAGTACTTAAGGCCAAATGGTGTTCAGGTTTGAGTAACTGAGAAGCCCTTCTGAGAACCACCACCTCTGTCTTATGACGCTAACAGGGAACACAATTTTCAACCGTGAGGCAAAGGGCTCCTTTGTAACCCTCACAGCTGGCTCTCTGTACCTGCAGGTTCTGGATCTATAAATCCAAACATTCATGGACCAAAACTGTTTGGAAAAGTAGCACATCTGCACTGAAGCTGTACAGACTTTTTCTTGTTACCTACTGGCACTCGAGTGCCATCACTGTTTACACACCACTTCTATTGTGCCAGGCATGATAAGAGTCTGGAAGTGAATAATAATGTTGAATCATGTGGGAGGTTGAACGGAGTGGGAGGATGTGTCTCGGCTCCATGCCATGCCATTTTATGTGTGGGACTTGCGCATGTGTAGATTTCAGAGCCAAGGTCTTGGAGCCAGTTCTGCCTGGATCTGAGGACTCAGGGTTATGTGTGGAGCTTGGCTCTGCTCCTTTGGCTGGAGCTCTAGCTCCAGAATACAGTGTGGCCTCAGCTTCACTAACATTTACATTATACAAAATATGACACAATGTAATATGAAAACATCATACTTTGAGGGAGCCGATAGTTATAATTCAATGGATAATCCATTTAGTGGAGTGGGTGAGTGTGTGACTTAGGGGCAGGAGGGCTGGGGAGTGGGATTTAGTCTGAAACACTGTAGGGGAAGTAGATCCAAGGAATGAAAAAGAGAAGGCATGAAGAGCAAGCAGTTTCTAGTAACCTTTGGGTCTGCTTTGGGTCAGGAAGAGTCAGTTAAAAGAGCCTCTCTGCCAAGTATTGGGGCCTACCAAGGCAGAATCCAGCCTGGCGCAGGAAGACAGCTCTGGGGACCACAGGGAGCTAGGCATTTGGGAAATAATTAGTAGTATCTAATTTCCGCCCTTAAGCATGTAAACGCTGAGAAAGGGTTGGAAGGCTCTGGCTGCTTTCCTGTAACAATTATACTTCAAGAGCTCTACATCAGACTTCAGCTCCATCACAAAGATGCCAAGTGTGTTACTGGGACAGGAGACTGGGAGAGACATATTGGCTGAAGGAATACACACTGGCCTAAATGTCACCATCTCTGGGGTGACATTTCCAGACCCTTTTATAGGAAGTCTAATGATGGCAAAATCGGCCAGGAGTCTTAGTCTGCAATGGCCACAGCCTGAGTCAAATTTAACTCCGGCCACTGAAGCACAATACAGAAGAGTAGTAGAGATTTTTCAAACAAATAAAAGGACCCAACAAAGTGAGTAGCAATCAATCTTCAAAGATGCAAAGCAAAGCTAAAGAAAACACTGGCAGTTTTTGTCCCCTGAGGATAAGTTACTGCCGTGGGTTGGAGGTACCTTTGAGGTTCCTGTGCAGGTCAAGGCTGATCCGAGGAAAGACACCCTCCCCATACAGAGTGATTTTCTCTGGGTCCAGGTGGGCAATCTGTATCTGGAAGCTTCTTTGAAAGACCTCAGGTATTCCAGGCAAGTAGTAGACTTTCAACACCTGCTCCTTATTTGAGTGGATAAACCCCTACATGGTAGAGAGATCAGACAGAGCTTGACAGTGTGCAATGGGCTTATGTTTCTTATGGGTGGCTGGGCACACCTCCCCTCAGGTCTATTCCATGGTGATGTAAGAAAAATGACAATTAGACCACAGGGAAGCAGGTAGTGTAGGGACAGGCACTGCATAAAAGAGAAATACAAGGAACAAAAAGAAACATTTTTAAGTAGGTCGGTTCTTTTCCAGTGTCTAGTTTTTCTCCACGGAACGAACCGCTAGCAGAGATGTTTCCCCACTCTGTGGGCTGACCATTCAATTACTGCACATTCTCTTTCTCTCTGCAGAAGCTTTTAAGTTTCATGAGAACAGATTCACACATTGATGGTCTTATTTCCTGTGCTACTGGACTCTTATTCAGAAAGTTCTCACCTGTACCTATAAGTTGAAATGTGCTTTTTTCTTTGGTGATTTTGTAGTACCTGGCTGGTCTTGAACTCACAGAGATGCACTTTCCGCTGTCCCCCCCAGTGCTGGTATTAAAAGTGTGCACCACTACACCCTGCCAGACTAGCAAGTTGTATATTAAGGTCTTTGATCCATTTAGGGTTGAATGTTGTGAAGGATGAGGTAAGGATCTACTTTCATTTTTCTATCCATTGAAATCCAGCTTTCTCGGCACCATTATTTGAAGATGCTCTCTTTTCTCTGATTGTATTTTTGGGCCATCAATTCTATTCTGTCAATCTCTTTGTCTGCTCTGTTTTTGTTTTGTTTTGTTTTGTTTGGCTTGTGTGTGTGTGTGTGTGTGTGTGTGTGTGTGTGTGTGTGTGGTGTGCCAGTGCCATTTTGCTTTTATCCCTTTGACTCTGTAGTATAATTTGAAAGCATGTGTGGAGATAGCACCAAGATTCTCTTGGCTCAGGATTAAAACAGGGAAAGCACTTAACCTTTACCAGTCATGAGGGAAAGGCAAACTAACAGGACACTAAACTTCTCTTTAACCACAAGGCTGGTAAAATTTACCAAGTTTTGGTGAGAAGCTGCCTCACAGGAGATGCTGATATGCCTGTGGGTGGGACTTCAAGAGGAGCAGGCACACAGGGAGACAAGTGTAGAAGTCAGGTGTGGCGGCCTGTGAATAGAATCTGGGACTTGGTGGAGACAGGAGGATTTTATGTTCAAGTCCATCCTGGGCCACTTAGAGAGACCTTTAGTCTGAAAAGTCTAAGCCCAACACAAAGAAACAGAATGAAGCCTTTCATGCCCTCATCTAAAGCAGAAGTCCCTAGGAAAACATCTACCTTTGAGATATGTAAGAGAAGATCCATAGTGGAACTGTTTCTAATGAGAAACTACTGTCTAACTAACCTTCTACAACTAAATGTGGTTTCAATGGAAGCTGGAAAAGTACTTTCAATACGGCTAAAATACTTTTGTGAAGCATTAAAATTATGAACGAGGTAAAAATAAACCTGCAGGTTAGCGGTCAGAAAGTAGGAGGTGTGGGAGTCGCATGACTATAAATTACAAGACTGACAATAAGTTACAAATGGGACTGGAACCTCAGCTGGGAAAGTATGACTGGCCAAATTTTAGCAACAGAAGTGTTTATGATGCATTCTTATTGAGCTCTTCAGAATTCTTGAACTCTCTCTCTCTCTCTCTCTCTCTCTCTCTCTCTCTGTGTGTGTGTGTGTGTGTGTGAACGTGTAAGGAAGAGGGCAACTTTGGGTGTCGTTGCTCAGAGTGTGCATGTTAGCTTCTGAGGCATGCTCTCTCTCGTTGGCTTGGAGCTCACCAAGTAGGCTGAGCTGGCTGACCAGGGCGTGTGGACCACCGAGCATGCCTCCTTTTAAAAATCCTCCCCAGGGCACTTTAAAAAAAAATCTCCCTGAGGGGGGTGCAGCTTTGCCAGGTCACAGAGGAAGACAATGCAGCCAGTCCTGATGAGACCTGATAGGCTAGGGTCAGAGGGAAGGGGAGGAGGACCTCCCCTATCAGTGGATTAGGGGAGGAGATGAGGGAGCTAGAGTGGGATAGGGAGGGGCTGATGAAGGGGGCTGCAACTGGCATACAAAGTGAATAAATTGTAATTAATAAAAAAATAAATTAATTAAAAAAACTAAAAAAAAAAAACCGCAGGAATAACATACTCTTGGGGGAAAAAAAACTATTAAATGAGGATAAGAAGAAGTAAGCCACAGCATAGAGAATAATAAAACAATGACAACATACTGCTATGTATCGATCTATATTTGATCTGATGCACAGAAACTGGAGATATATTAATCCTGGTGGAGTCAATAAACTTATCTCAAATCACAAAACTGACAGTGACACTTGCCTGCTCCTATGAGAAGCCATTACTCTTTTTCTCCATTCTTGTGCTTCCTTATATGTTCTTACTTCAATATGCTCTTGACTCTCGTACCCGAATTTCACAAGACCCTGACCCTCAAGAATCACTGTGTAAGAGCGTGTCCATTTGACGGGGTGGTGTGTGCGTGTGTGCGCATGTATGCACATCAGTGTACCTGAGCACATGCTCACAGATTTATCCTCACACCTTCTTTATCCCCTTTACTTGCTCCTCCCTTCAGCAGTCCACACTATTTTGCTGTTTCCCTGCAGAGCTGTTTTCTCCTGTGCTCAGTGTTCTGGGGTGAGGGGAGCCTGTCCCAGCTTCTACCTCCATATACCCTTGCAATGTATTTTCTCAATAGAAATACAGTTCTCAGGCAACCCTGCCAGGCAAATGTCTCTATTTTGTTAAACACCAAATATTCATGGACGGTTCTGCATTCTGCAAACATTTGTTTTCATGATAAGAATTTGGCTTCACAATAGTAAAGCTGGCATATAGGGAAAGAAAAACATACAGAGAAAAATCCCATTCAACCACAAAGGAGGCTTCTGAATTAAAAAGGGGCCAGCACAGCAGCCTCGAGGCCCTGGATTCTACAAAGGCCTCTTACAAGGCTGAGTCTTGGTTGGCATCTGGGAGCCAACGTTCTGGAAGGTTCTTGCCATTCCCTGATTGGGCTTCCTTACCTTACCTCATCTGTACAAACAACACAGTTTATGTCAATTCTTTCTTGCTTTCTCAGGGAATTTTGTTACGTGGCAAAGTTCCAATAAAACCCCTGCAATCTCCAACGAGTCTCCCTGGCAGGTCTCAGGTTATCACAACTTATTACGTAGGAGGGGATGGTTTGTCAACTAAAATGCCTGTTTTCTGAGAGGCTGGACAAACTTGTTCAAATGCCACATGCGCCTTCTCCAGGAAGACTTCTTGGACTCAGCCATAAGTCATCCTCACATATATGATTTATTACAACCAAAGGGCACAAAGTGAAACTGGCAAAGGGATGCAGCGCGCAGGCAGAAGGTTAGAAGAAGCGAGAGAGGCACACCCGAGGAAGCTGCAAGGAGTCTCACAGGACACTTACGTTCCTGCCTTAGCTCCTCTTTTCACTTCCGTGACAGAGTACCTGGCAAAACCAGCAATGACATGTGAGGGGAGAAGAAAGGGAGGGACAGGGAGGAAGGACAGAAGGATGGGATGAAGGGTTTACTTAAGAAAGAACAGTCTGTCATGGTGTGGGGCAAGCAGCCTCTGATGCCCACACACTGCAGCTCCTCATGGAAACCATCTGAAAACATCTTCGTAGACACACAAGACAGGATTGTTTCCATGGTGATTCTAAAGCCAATCAAGTAGACAGTGAACATTAATCCCCCTGTTTTTAACTGCTGATTATCATTCTGCAGTTTTAATGCCTTAATACAAACAGTTTGTTTCTGTTTTTTTTTTATATTGCTGCTACAGTTTATGCAGAAAACAGTATTATTCACGTTTCATTTTACAAATGTGGGATTATCATATGTTTAAGATAATTAGATAAGAAAATTTTGATCAAAGAGTAATTTTAATACCTATCGCCAAATGTAAACTCAAATGCTAACAAAGGAAAGCTTGAGACAAAAAAATATGGTAATTAGAAAAAGGTAAAAAAAAAAAAAACTAGAAAACTTCCATAGAGAAAATGCAAGAAAGGAAATAATACCAAAAATCTCAATTATACCAATGAAAGACAATAAAATTTAACAATGCGTATTTTAAGAGTGAGCAACCTAAACCAAGATGAAATAGACTATGGAGAATGGCAAGAGGCAAGACAACCAGAAGCTGCCATGTTGAGACCAAGGGAAGTGGGTTCAAGGCAAAAGTCTTTAAGGGTTGGAAGAGACCACGTAAAATAGGCAACACGCGGTCTGTGAGGAACATTCAATAGAAGTAAAGCCTTACATGTCAACGCAGAGATGAACACGTATACAACCAAAAATTCCATAGTTACATAGTTTCAAAAACTAATGCTGTGAGAATGTCAGGTAAGGTATTTTGATCATATTTATCGCTCCCCCCACCAAGTTTCTGAATCCTGTATGTGTATGGGCTGTGCACGCATGCTCACATGTATGTGGATCAGGTGTCTTTGGCTATGCATGCACAGCACGTGTGTGAGGACATGTGTCCTCACATGTGTGAGGACAGAGGTTGACACTGGGTGTCTTCTTCCATCACCTTGCCTGTTAAACACCTGAACTCGGAGCTCAGTGATTTGACTAGCCTCAAGAGGCAGCTTGCTCCAGGCATTCCCCATCTCCTCAGCTGAGGGCTGAGGCTGCAGGTGGGCCGCCGTGCCCACCAGCATTGACATGGGTGCTGACACTTGCAGGACAAGCGCTCTGCCCAGTCCCAGCACACAATGTTCTCTATTTATAGACAGTAAATGTGGAGGAGGGCAAACTCTTATACAAACTAAGTGTATACCACTTAGTCTTAGGAAAAGTAATCAAACAAACAAAAGATAAGGCACATTTGAATGCTGCTGTTTTCCGGTTAGCTTTGTAGAGATTCCTGATCATCTGCACTCTGTAGTCTCAGAAACATGATTTTTCTTTCTTATATTCCTTGGTGTTAAAAATCATTTTAGACTCCTAAATACAACAACTCATCTGCTAAGTGGAATCCGAGGGGACCTCATTGTCTGATTCATTGGGCAGAGGTGCTTCCAAACCTGATCTCTTGGATCAACGAGGCGGAAGCAGAGCACTGAGTAACTGTTCCTTCCTGCCTCTGCACGTGCACTGGGCCCCACCCCAAAACAAATAAATATAATAAAAATGTTAAAGTGTTGTAATTTATAAATAAAAAGAAATATATCATCCTAGATAACTTAGAAAATAATGAAAATTGTGATAATGGTTATGCAAATGAATAAAATGTCCACATTTTAAAGATTTTTTTTTTTTTTTTACTTTATGTGAATGAGTGTTTTGCTTGCATTTGTGCACCATTCACAGGCCTGGTGCCTATGGAGGCCAAAACAAGGCATCAGATCCCCTGGAACCAGAGTTATGGACAGTTATGAGCTGGTATGCGGGTGCTGGGAATCAAACCCTGGTCCTTTTAGACACTGAACCATCTCTTTAGCCTGATTTCTGCCCTTTGTCGTTTCAAGACAGGGTTTCTCTGTGTAGCTTTGGATGTCCTGGAATTTGTTCTAAAGACCAGGCAGGCCTCAAACTCAAAAAGATCCGCCTGCCTCTGCTTTCTGAGTGCTGGGGTTAAAGGTGTGGGCCACCACTGCGTTTTTAATTCTGAAAGTTCATGAGGCAAGGCTGATGGTTTACTCAGTGAACAATGGTGCTATGTTTCCCACTATTTTTTTTAAGAAACAAAAGTCAGCATTCAACCTAGGAAGTTAGAAAAATAAAACATGGATGCAGATTTGAAAGAAAAGTTAAGGCAAACCAGGAGAAAGAACAAAAGGGAGTTGATTTAATAGATACCAGCTCAGGTTTAAAAGCCACAGCAACGACAATAGTGCAGAGTTAATGTACGGATGCCCAGGCCAAGGGCCTTTGGGACTGGCGATGGGTGTGGGAATGAGTGACACATCAGAGAGAACAGCATTCCTTATGTCTGGATTTTAAGATTGTGAACAGGGGCTGGGGCGATGGTGCAGTAGTTAAAAGGGCTTACTGCTCCTACAGAGGACCTGGGTTAGGTGCCTCCCAAATGCCTGGAACCCCAGTTCTAGGGATCTGAAGTTCAACTCTGGCCTTCCTGGGTTCACATCACACATAAATAAAACTAAATCTTGAGAAAAAGATTACGTATAATTATAAACTAATTATATACATTTTGAAAATATTTCTTGACTCACAATAAACATGTGTCATCTTTACAAGGAGAAAAAGTCAACAAAAGTTTTTTAAAACCTGCCAGGTCAGCATAATATCAATAGGGGCAACTTGCCCCCTTGCTTCTGAAGGTGGAATGGCTCTTTGCAGGCTGCAGGTGTTTTCAAGCATGCTAATGGAAAGTTGCTTTTACTGGGTATAGCTGGTATGAAGGAAGCGCCAAGGAACAAGGAAATCTCTGAAAGGGATACCCCCCTGTCGAGATAGTATCTCATTATACAGCCCAGGGTGGCTTTGGATGTAAGTAAGGTCCCCCAGAGTGTTGGGATTTGAAAGACGCACCATCACACCTGATGCAAATTAAATTTGTTATCATGGGGAAAATCCATAGACTCTATCTAGCTGGTTCATCACATGTCTGTTGATCTGGAAACAGGCAATGTAGGGTGTGGTAAATGACTGTTCAATGAACCGGTGTTCTAGAGTCTATCTGTCTATCCATCTCCCCACCCACCCACCAATCCATCAGTCAACGGAGGCTCATATAACACAGAATGGCCTCAGACTTGCTAAGTAGCCAAGGGTCAGTTTTCCCTGATCCTCCTGCTTCACCCTCCTGAATGCTCGCATTGCAGGTATGTGCCACTATGTATGACTCCAAGCTTTTAGGTTCTTTAACCCCTGCCCCACGTGAGGCTTGTCTGTTTGCTGTGAGCCCTCTCGGTTCTAACTCACCGACTTGGGCAGGATGAGTGGTACTCCAGGGAGAATGTTCTTCGGCGAAGACTGGTAGCTAGTCAGAACTTTGAACTCAAAGCCAACTTTCCCGATGTTTTTCAGTGTGATTTCACGTTCCGTGACGTGGTCAAACAGCTGGAGAGCAGGTGGAAGAAGGCTGTTACTTGTCTGTGGGATTCTCTCTCAGCCTGACAAGAGGGACTGACAAGTGTGCCCCCCCCCCAGACATGCACTCCTACATTCCAGAAGACAATGGTCAATCCATATTTGATCATAAAGGGTCTCCCAGGGGCAGGAGGCTCCCTGGAGACTCTTGAAATAAGTTTTCTAATAAGTTCCAGAGCATCTTGAAATAAGTTTTCTGAACCGAGAGGGTTTGCTTCTGATCTTATCCTATTAAAAACACACGATTTAAATTCAGAATGTTCTAGAACGAATTTTCCCATTTGTGTAAGGGACCATAGGCATTACATGCCAGTTGAGATTTGCTAACGTAATTCACCAGCTCATACGACAGGCTTACACCCCCCAAACTGAGGCCTACTTTAGGGGTTCCCAGGAAAAACCAGGACAAAACTAGCTGTCTTAGATAGAACTGGGTACATGTAGGGTGGCCGAGTTGCAGAGATGAGTTTATCAGAGGACCTTGGAGGTTATAGAAGAAAAGCAAATTCTATTTGGCTCACAGAGCAGAGAAGACAGCAGCCAATGCCAGAAAAATCTGAATGCAGTTGCAGCCTTCCATCTACAGACACAATTCAATGATTACTTGCTCTAGCTTTATAACAGGAATTAAATGCAGTAAAAATTGGCTCAGAAGTACAGTCTCCTGGTACATGACATACAATCTAAGAAGTACACAGAGAATTACCTGGCTGCCGCCCCTACCTCAGCTAGAAAGCGTACTGTGGCTGAGATGAGTGTCAAGCGAAGGTAAAGACAAGGTAAGCTTTTGGAAGGGGCCTGAGCTGTGACTGACAGGAGGAACAGGTCTGGAGGTGGCAGAGTGGAACATGAGAAGAACAGTGTGGAGAAAATGTGGAGGCAGAAGGGGCTGGGATTCATTAGAGGCAGTGGGTAAACCAGCTTGGCCACAACTAAATGGATAGCTTATAATGGGGGGGGGTTACAGTCAACCTGGTATCTGTGTAGGGAGCATCAGTAAGATAAGGGCTTAACAGGTAGGTGTGGTGGTCCCATAACCCCAGTAATTAGGCAGCAGAGGCAGGTAGGTCTCTATGAGTTGGCGGTCAGCCTGGTCTATATAATGAGTTTCCAGGGTTACACAGAGAGACCCTGTCTCAAAAATCCCAAACAAAACCACAGAAGAGAAGGGGTCTCACAGACTCCCCACATATTATAGGCTGTTGCTGATACTGTAGGTTTTCTTCCAGGGCTTGACAGTAAGACCTTATTGCCAAAGATACACTCGGAGACCTCGCTGACACTCTACTGGGAGTTACATTCCTGCTGGCTGCTTTCAGAGTGTTGGGAGGGGCTATGAGAGCTTCTGGGAGAGAAAAGTAAACATCAGTCTCACCTAGTTGTGCATCCCCATGAGCTACCGTGAGGTGCCTGGCAAGATAGATACACCCACTGGTAGTGACATAAAAGTTATGGCAGCAACAAACTACCTTTTGATTGGATATATGGTCTACCCCACAAGATGGGAGGTACCCCGCCACTGAGGCCAAGAACCTGCGGCTGGATAGGTCAGGGGCCAGGGAAAAGCTGGGCTAAGTGGACATACTAGAAAAAACGACACCTAATGACTTTTAATATTATACCCATCATCTCTCAACCCTCATGAGGGAAGCTTCTTTTTGTGGAAGATGGCAATAACAGAGCCACACAACTGGCCAACATGTGGATTTCCTCGACTTCAGAGTGCTCACTCCTAAGCGAGATGTCTGTACCACATCTCTCCTCTCGAGGCTCAGGGACCTACGTGGAGGCGAGGGCGGAAGGGCTGTGAGAGCCGGGTGTGGTGGGCAACTTTAAGGAAGACTCAACAGGCAGCTGCACATAGGCACGGGGGAGGGGGCATGAAGCACCACGCCCAAGCCGAGTCTCTGTTTGTTCGTTTGCTGATGGCGCGACAAAACTGGTATCACACTCCAGGGCAGATCCCGCACTCTGGAACAGTCCGTCGGTACAAACAGGGCTTAGTGGGGAGGGAGGAGGAGGGGGAGCATGTGCAGGATAGAACCAGTTGGGTGGGGGAGGTCGGGGAGGAGCTGAGAAGAGTTGGGTGAGGAGGCAAATATCAAAATGCACTGTATGAAATTCTCTAAGAATAAACCATTAAAAAAAGACTCGAAAGGCTTGGGACATCCCAAGTGACCTGATGGGTGACAGAGGAGGGAACTCATGGCGATTGGATGTCTGCTGTGACCAGGGCAAAAGCACTGACCGCTGGGGTAGACATTGCTGCCCCTCCCCATCTTGTAGGTGAAAGATGCTGACGCTTGGAGAGGTGAGGTGATGTTCCTAAGGTAACAGTGGGAATCCAGACAAGATTTTAAACAAGACAGAACTAAGGAAAACAATACAAAAAACCACCCTGCTCTTTTTCTCAATACTGTTCTGCTGGGATGAACTGCCCAGGGACTGACGGGATGAAGACGCGCTTCCAGGAAATTATCTGACAATGGTGCCCACTCAGGGTCAGTAGTGATGCAATCCCTTGCTTGTGTGTGTCTGTGGACCAGCAGTATTGATGTCACACGGCAGGGAGCTTGTTTTTGAAATGTGAAGCCCCCGACCAAATGCTGGGCCCACTGAATAGACCACAGTGTGAGCACACCGCTGTCATATTTAGGCCTGGCAGCCAGGTGTCATTGTGCACGCATGTAATTGTGCACGCATGTAATCCTAGCAGTTGGGAGGTGTAGATGGAAGGATCAGGAAGCTGAAGACATCCCTTGGCTATGCAGTGAGTTTGAGATAAGTCTGGATTGCACGAGTCTCTTGTCTTTAGAAATCAAAAACAAAAACATCAAAACAAAAATTTAGCTATGGCTTGATGAAGTCCTGTAGCGATTAGGGTGACGTGGCGTGGGACTCAGGTGGGCGCTTGGAAGCACTGGCTGCTTGCATGTGGCCTGTCTAGGGGAGGGTAGCAAAAGAGCCCCGCAGATTGCAAAGAGAGGGGCATGAGAAAATAGTGTTAAGGAGAGAAACAGAACAGCCACGGTAGTTTCTAGCTGAAAAAACGGGAGTCTTTGACGCTTAGCTTGAGGAAACAGTGAGAAGAGCAGGAGAAAACGGTGGCGAGCGGGGGAGCTGGGGCAGGGAAGCTCGTTAGGGATGAAGGGCATGCGTGGTGGGACCTAAGGAGATTCAAGGATGAGGACTACGATCCAGGTTTAAGGCAAACCCAGACAACCCCCACCTGATATCTGCACTACCTGTAATCCATAGTTAATGTTAGTCGTGTCAAAGGAGTAGCTGACCAGGGAAGCCTCTCCCTTCAGTATGATTTCATACGTGGGCCCTCCCTCCACTTCACACAGAGCTTTGGCCCGCGCCGTGATGTCACAGTGTCCGTAGAAGGTAAACGAGATCTGATGGCTGCTGTACGGCTGCAGAACTCCATAGAGGGGCAAAATGTCAAACACCTGCGGGGAAAGAAAGTCATCAGACACCCGCGGGGAGAGAAAGTCATCCCGCATGGGAACAGCTGTCAGGGCGAGGGGTCTGCAGGGGGCGAGTTACATCTTGTCAGTGGACAGACTCGTTCCTGACTTTTGACTCCCGAACACGTGTGAAGGTAACAGGGGAAATGCTCTCGGTAGATGTTAGTTTCCAAAATGGAGGAGGAGGAGGAGGAGGAGGGGGAGGGGGAGGGGGGGGGGGGGGGGGGAGGAGGAGCTTGGACGTATCCCTGCTGGGTGGTTAAGGACCTCAGGGGTCTCACTTACTTCCTCTATCCCAATGGAAAGCATCTCCTCCTGTTCAAAGATCCACGGGGATTCTGGGTAGTCTACCTGGCTCTGGCTTCTGTCTGTTCCTACGGAGCTGTATTTCATTGCCTGGGAATGAGAGTGAGGAAAAGCAAGCAAGCATGCGCAACAGTTCATCATCAATGCACGCCTCTCCTTCCCTTTCAGAAAAAGAAAATGTGGCAAACATGATGATAAACACGGGGCGTGTGGGGGATGGCGAGATTTTATGGCTCGGTGGCGAGGAGCAGGTACTGCTATCAGAGGACCCCACTTTGTTTTCCAGCACCGTGGGCACCTGTAACTGCAGCTCCAGGGGATCTGGCTCTCTCTTCTGGCCACCATGGGTACTGCACGTAGGACCCCCCCATCCCTAACACAAGACCATGTCATTGAAAATACATTTTAAAAAACTGGACATTTCCCCCTGTAACAATAAATGCCCCAAATGTACATATATGTACAGCAGAGTCCTTTTAAAAAGGGAGCTCTGAAAACAAGCTGTCTGCCCACAAGAAATAGCATGCTTTAAATAAAGTCTGTGTCAGTACCTCTCCATCCACAGAAGGCGACACAGTGTGTATTTGTGGGCCAGGAACCATACATACAACATGTTCTTGAGAGAGAAGGTGGTTTCATTCATGTGAGTCACACTCTGAAGGGATGGGTGGGTGTAAACTCATTCTGAGCTTTGTGAAACAGATATCTTGGAGACTGCTAAGAATTTCAGTAGTAATTTTCTTATGCAGGATGGGATTCGAAGGAGTTTTGTTTTGACTTTTTTTGTATTGCATGGAATTTTCCATGGCAAGCGTCTCTGAAGATGGAAATTAATGAGTATTCAGAAGACAAATGTGTGAAATTAAAAAGCAGGGGAAGATCTAAGGAAAGAAATTACAATCAACTGATAGGTTATAGCGCACACATACGCATATACCTCTCTGCCCTGTGTATATATGTCTAGCCACACTTCATGTGTTGGAATATAGGAAGTGGTTGATACATATTATTTAAAATAAAATGCATACAGCTAAAAAACAATACTTCCACCAATATTCCTTACTCTTCAGTTGTCGCTTAGGTAACCACTGTTCAGTTTGGTTTTGTTTTTTGTAGATTCCATCTACTTATTTTCTTCATTTGACTAATTTTTGAAAATTTGTTTTAAAATACTTTTCATACATATATGTGTGCATTTGAGACTGGAGATGTCCACAGAGGCTGGAAGGCAATGGCAGATGTTCTGCAGCTGGAGTTACAGGTGGTTGGGCACTTCCAGATGTTCACATCCGCTCGAAGAGCAGTAAGTGCTCCTAACTGACTGTGCAGTCTTTATATGACTAGTACTTACGTATGATGATCCAGTTCTAGACATACAACGGACCAGTTCTAGATGCTGGCGATAGAATGGCGAGCAGAACAGGAAAAAGAATATGCCCTGCTCTCCTGACCCTGGCACTTAAGATATTCTATGCAGAAGCAAATATATCTATGCTGCCATTTAAGAGACATAAACACTGCCAGCCAGACTGCTTGATGTGGGAAAAGAAAATGGTTTTCATCACCAGAGACAAATGTTTATAATTATGGAAAGTATAGTAGGTGCTCGACAAGTACTAGCTGTTGGGGCTGGAGAGATGGCTCAGTGGGTAAGAGCAATGGCTCTTCTTGCAGGGATCTGGGTTCTATTCCCACCACCTGCCTGACCACTTATAACCATCTGTCCAGTTCTAGAGGGTCTGATGCCCTTTTCTGGCCTCTGTGGGCACTGTACACACACACACACACACACACACACACACACACACACACATATGCAGGCAAACCTGCATATGTTTAATCATAAATCATATGTATCTAATATTAAAAATAACTATTGGTGGTTGTTTTTATATACTTCTGCCTTGACACAAATGGTAGCACACTATGTGCCCATTTTTTACCTAGCACTTTTTATTTAATACTTTAGAAATTATACCAAACTGGTGGAGAAGCTATTTGCTTTTTATACCAGAATTCTATAGCACTGCCTTGTGCAGATGCAATTTGGTTTATTCAGTTAATCTCTTGTTGGCAGAATTGTTGTTTCCAAAATGTTCTTGCTCTTATAAACAAAGCTTGATATACAAGACTAATTATATATTCATATAAACACAGAGGCATATCTGGAGGATAATTTAGAAGAAGAAGTATGCATTTTAAGTATTAATAAACCTGCCAAGTTACATGTCATAAAGGCTATACCAATTTGGTCCCCTTCCCTGCCTGTATATATGAAAATCTCTGCTGATGCACACTTTTTTGCCATGACTCTGTCTTAGCTGGGGCACACAGTAATTCATTTTGCACTTTAAATTTTTTTTCTTTTCTTGCTATTTCTAAGGTGTAATAAAATATCTTTCTAGTGGAGAACTTTAGTCTCCAATGGCTTTCTTAGTCTATCATTCTAGAGGAAGTGTTTAAGGATATGCATTCTTTATATGTGTGTGGGGTTATGTGTGTATGGGGTGTGTATGTGTATATACATGCTTATCGTGTGCACATGTGAGAGCAGGGGCCTGTGCTTAGGTATGTGGAGGCTAAATGCCAATGTTTACGTCTTGATCACTCTCTACCTTATCTTTTTGAGGCACAGCCTCTCACTGAACCCGAAGCTCAGCAATTCAGCTAGACCATGCAACCAGTGCTGGATTCCTGGTGTGTGACAAGAAGTCTGGCTTCTGTATGGGTGCTGGAGATCTTAACCCAAGTCCTCAGGCCAGCCTAACAGGAGTTTAGCCACTGGGACATTTCTCTAGCCCAGGGCTTTAAACTCTGCATATACTGCATTATTCCTGAGATAAAGATTTTTCTGTTAGCTGCCCCTGTGCAAGGAGTGGGAAGACCACACGACTACCCAGGCCTGGAGAGCACCAGGTTTTTACTTTCCATGTCCCGAGGTATCCTGGGCTCTGAATGAGGTGCTCACTCTGGGGAGAAGTGACCTGGCCTCATGCCAGCTCCACACCAGCTGGTGTTGTGCTTGGCACTCTGATCATGGTCTCTCTTTCTCTCTCAGCTTTGGGAAGGATTTTTTACTTGCTAACCCTGCCCAGGAGCAAAGGAACCATACTTCTGAGAACTCGGTGGATTCTGTGGGTTTTTTGCTTTCTCTTTCTTCAGGTCCAGCCTCGTCATCCATAAGGATAGTCCTGGGGAGTTTAAGGAAGTGAGAGAATCATTTACTTGGCAGCAATCACCACCAGCCCAGTTCTACCTCCCCTCAACACCATCTTTCTCTTCCTCTCTGCCATATCCCAGAGTTAAGTAGAGAACATCACCCAAAGGACACTTTCTCTTAAGCTGGCAGTGCTCAGCTTTCCTCTGTATAGTGAGCCACTACGCTGCTCAGTTTCCCAGCAGCTACCCTTTCCTGGGGCACCAAGTTCACATCCAACTTACAAGGCATGCTGGGAAGCATGTACGGTTTTTCAGTTTGGATGTGTCCTCAGTTCATAATGTTTGACTTTGTTTTTGAGACCGGGTGTCACTCTGTAGCCCAGGCTGGCCTCAAGCTTATCATCCTCCAGCCTCAGGCTCCTGAGGGCTGGCGGGACAGGCATGTGCCACCATACCTAGCTGAATTTCCTAATTCCTCAGAGCATTTTATTGTGAGGGCACAGCATTTGATGGATGGATATTGATGTTACTTTCTGCTCTCTACCTTGACTACCGTCCTGTTTGCAGAGCTTTGCTCTGTGGAGGGGTAGAGGGGAGGAAGGACTCAGTGCCCCAGGGGTAAGAACTCTATCTCCTACCGGAGAGCAAAGATGGTTCTCGGCTCTCTAACTCAAAGAGCCAGTGGTGGGCCTAGCACACAGAATCCAGTCACATAACTGTTGGCTAGTGTGTGGCTGAATGGACAGATGAGGGATGGGTGTTGAGAATGGAAGTTCAGTGAGAGGAAAAGATGCAGCAAAGGACAAGCCCGCATTGTTTTTGGCTCCTTACTTGATGGAATCGCTGTAGTCCATCTCAGTAGACTCCACCATGGGCGGGACTGCTGGCGAGCTGGTGGTCACTGAGGTGGCAGGGATGGACTCCATCTGGGATACGAGGGCACTGTAGGGCTTGACACATGGTGTAAACCTACCAAGGTGAGGAGGCATTGTAAGTTACAGGTTCTCAGCCCCTGGACTCTCATTTTCTAAGGCCATTTTCATAGCCTATACCAGAAAGATCTGGAAGGACAGCCTTGGGCCCTTTCTTGGACTTGCCTTCTTCAGATCTCAGCAGTCTCACTTCTCAAATTGTAGCAGACTGCTCATCTCAGCCTGGATCCAGGATCTCCCCCTCCAAGCATGCCCAGACTCCTGGGATTCCCCTCTCCCATTTTCCTTCTCACCCTCTGTTGACTGTGAGCTCCCTCAGGACCTTAACAGGGCACCAGAAATGGTGTGTTGCCTGAACTGCAGGGCCAAGCCTACACAGGAATGAATGGGGATCTGCTCCCAGACAAACAGAAAGCAGAGCTGGGATTAGGGTGAGGAATGTGAGGCACTTCCTATTGGGATCCTGAAAGAAATCAAACCAAACCAAACCAAACACCAGACCAAACCAAACCAAACCAAACCAAACCAAACCAAACCAAACCAAACCAAACAGCAGACCAAACCAAACCAAACCAAACCAAAAACAACCAAACCAAACCACCAAACCAAACCAAACCTGTCCCTCACGATGCTGATCCCTCAGCACCTTGCTTGACTGACACATCCCAATGCTGGCCCCATTGGTGAGCTTTGCTGACACTCAAGTTCTGGGTAAAGAGGTTCAGGGCAAATTAGCTGACACCGAAGCCCAAGTGTTCAGGTATCACTCATTAGATTAGAAAGGCCTTTGGATGTCACCAAGGCCAAGGTGCTGGGCTCACTCCCGTTCCTCTGTTCGGACTTTGTTTCATGACTTTGTTCTGGACTTATCCCTTCTTGCCCTGTATCTTACTGTAAGTATCAGCCCAGTTTGCTTACTTAATCATTCTGGCAGCATTTGAATTCAGGCTCAGCAGAAGTCCCTGGCACACAGTCCTGTCTTCTCTTTGGAGATACATCGTCTCCCCAGCTCATCACAGCTTCTCATCCATGTTTCAGGATGATGCATACTTCCCACTGAGGCCTGGAGTCCTGTTGCCTGAATCTCAGGCACCCCGCTACCACCTTCTGATTTCTGCCTATTCGATATTACCTAATATAGCAATTTGATCGAGGTGTGGTTTACTTACAAAATTAACTCATCAGCACACTGCTTGAAGAACATCTACAAATACACATACCCAAGCACCTACTGCCACTCCTGTAGACAGATTGCGCCTGTCATTCCCTTGAAAGTTACAAAAGCTATCATCATTGTGGATTTGTGCTTTATGGCACGGTGGATAAGTTCTGCCCACAGCTTCACAGAAATGGAGTCTGACGTCTATGCTTGCCAGTCCTGACTTCTTTGGTTCATACTAAACATTTTATTGTTAGTGTTGTTTTGCGGAACAGTATTGTTTTTAAAAGCGGAGCAGTACTTTATAGGATGGATACTCATCGACGTTCTTGTTGATGGACATCCAAGCTGTTTCTGGCTTTTGGATGCTGTTAATAAAGTTGCTACGAGCACATAAGCCTTTGTGTGGACATGTTTATTCTCTGCTTTGATTTGGATCTGGTATGTTCCCCCAAAGGTTCATGTATTAAAGCTTGGACTGTAGCTCGGTGCTATTCATAGGTGGTGGGTGTTTTGAGAAGTAAGGCCTAGAGGGCCTTTAGGTCACTGGGGATAGAGCATCAAAGGGGATAGCAGAGTGCTGCTCTCCTCTTCTTCTCTCTGGCTCTCTGGCTCAGAATGAGGTGAATGGCTTTACTCTGCCTTATATCCCTACCCATAAGAAACAAGACAAATCAACTATGGACTGATGCCTCTAAAACTGTGCGTTGAAACAAACCTTTCTCTTTATGATTGGCTCAGGTGCTTGTTATAGTACTGGAAAACTGAGTAACTCCTTATTGGGCAAATTCTTTTGTAGGGAACTGCTCAATTATATGACCTATGCACGTTTAATGTTAAAGGAAGCCACCGAACAGTCATGCTTGGTATTCAGATGAATTTAAGCCAGTCACTATTTACATGGTGGCAGTACACTCTATTATCATTTGGTAGGCTTATTTTAAGGGAATGTTTCATATGATTACTACAAATGGAATCCTAATCTTAATTCATTTCAAAAATCAACAGGGAAAAAAAAATCAATGTTATTTATCTGCCTAATGAAGGCTCTGAGCAGAATATTGCCTGCTGTCCTTATGAGGGAAGAGCAGGTTATTTCCCCTAGAGGAATCCTGGAGATAGCATCATCTGTAACTGGGCTCAGTACGGAGCCTTGAGCCCGGGAGGGCGGAGTCTTCTCCCCATCCCTGCAGCGTAAAGTCTATTACACAGTCACTGAGCTCCATGAGTGTTTGATTGGCTGGCTGGCAGGGTAGGTGGGTAAATGAGGACAGGTGAGCAGTGAGCCGCACTCATACCCTCACCTAGGATGGCCTTGTCTTTCTTGAGCATCCGCTAGGCTTGTTCTAGATCAATTTTTTTTTTTTGACTCTGATTTCTTGGCAGAGCCTCTCGTTGGGGGGAGAATACAGAAAATCTGAGAAACTTGATACAATAAAGACTCTTGGCCCATCCTTGGGCAGATTCAGGTCTCGGGTAGGGCCCAGGAGTTAGTTTGAAGTCTTCCCAGATGCTTCCAGTGATGAGCAGCCACCACGGGTGGGAAGTCACTGTGATAGCCGAGGACAGAGCTGATAATTAATGTGGGGTTAACACTGTAGCCTCCCCAGCTAGGGACCACGAAAACCAGCAAAGGACAATTATGAGCCCTTATTAAATCACCCCAGGTCAGCGGAGATGCCTGGGGGACCCTCTGCTGGGTCGTGGTGCATATAATAGCCTTCTCTCATGCAGCACTGGCAGCCCCCTTCCCGATGTCTTCCAGATTGAAAAGAGAGCATGTGGGGATGTCTGTCAAGGAAAAACACAAAGCTGTGGAGTGTCTGCACACTGGGGGGAAAAAACAACACCTCAACTGGGAAGCGAGAGGTCTCTTTGGAAACAAACAAGACAGTTCAATGCAATGAGACCTTTAGCCAAACAGAGGCTTGAATTTAGTAAACCCTGCCCCCTGCTTCAGAGCCAACATCGGTGTAACCACCCCTCCCCCCAAAAAAAGATTTGTTTCCCCTTCAGGTATAGACCAGATTCATTTCTCCCCCAGGCACAGATGATTACTTTCCGGCTGTGCTTCCCCTCACAGGATTAGACCCAGTTATTTTTAAAGGAGAGTGTGCAGCAATCAGGGAAAATCAATACAGCTTCAATTCGGAAGACTCGCTGGAGACGCCAGGAGAGGACACTCCTTTGGACCACGACAGCTTCTTCTGAATGTCAAACACAGGCTGATGAGCCAGGCTCAGGAGCCTCCTTCTTTCTGTTTTATTTTGATCTCATGGGTAAGGATCAGTAGAAACCTTTGTGCTACGCAGTTAAAAAAAAAAAAATCCACCTCTCTCATTTCCTGACCTCCCTCCACCTGACCTCCCTCCATGGCAGGATGCGCCGCAACAAAATAAAAGCCGAAGAACAAGCTCCTGCTTCAGCTGTGTGTTGGAGTTCCCAGGGTGTCTGTAGACGGGAAGGTGAAGGTCATAGACACCCAGGTCTGGGCAGTGAGGTCCCACTCAGGTTCAGGTGGTGGGGAGAACTGTGGTCAGCACAGCTGTGCAATGGACACAGTGACTGCTGATTCATTTACTCTTTACACCTGGGTTCCGGAAGTGTCCTTCACTGAGGGTCAGGACAGCATCCGGCTTTATGCAAAGGACCTTTGGATGGCTTTATCTGGCTGGACAAAGAAAACTGACAAATGCTACTTTCTAAACTGAGGCAATAGATACTGATGGCTCAAGTCTAGATTCCTCCCTGCTAGGAGGATGTGCCCATTGCCTGAGGCTGTGGGTGCTGGGAGCACCGCTGTCTGGAGCATTGCTCTGCGCTGATAGACAGTGCCTCACACACTACAAATTCCTTCCTGCAGGGAGGGCTCATAGGTAGGCAAAGGAGGGGTTGATGGGTGTGGTGCTCTGAGAACCCAGCTTCCCAGGCTGTGAGTGGGACAAGCTCTGGTGGCTCGCTCCACTCTCCAGGGCTCCCTGTGGGATCTGGTTGGGGTCAGAGTTACTTCTTAAGCCACAGTTCTCCTCCCCCCTCCCATTCTCTCTGGCTTCCCTCACTCTCCTATAGTTTCTCCTGAGGGTCTTCAACACGTTACTTGCAGAGCCACTGTCCCGGCTTCGGCCTGGAGGAAACTCACTATACCCAGAGAGGAGAGACTCCAGCTTCCAGCAACACCAAGGCCAGTGGGCTGGAGGCAGAGAAGCTCATCATGGCCAAACTTCCTACTCTTTCCCTACTGCCCTGAGCCTCCCCATTCTCCACTCTCCTCATCTGCTCAGTTCTCAATGAAATTCTCCAAGGACCAAGACAGTTCTTTCTCATTGTCAGCCTACGGAACATGCTCTCCCTCTGCCTAGAGCACTCTACACCTTCATTCGGCTCACTTAACATTCATTGAATGAGGAATGCTACTCAAAAGTCCCCTAAGGGAGAGGACACGGCTCAGCAGTTACAGTGCTCGCTATTGCGAGTGTGAGGACCAGAATTCAGATGCCCAGAACGCGTATGAATGCTAGGTGGGCACAGATCCCTGACCCTAATTCTGGTGCTTAGACGACAGAAATGGGATCCCTGGAGCAAGCTGGCTAGTTAGGCTAGTGGGACCAGTGAGCTGTGGATTCAGTCCAGAGACCCTTCCTGAATAAATGAGGTGGAGAGTGGTTAGGGAAGACACCTGATGTCTTCACATGCCTGTGAATAGACGAGCAACCGCACATTCATGGGCATGCAAACACACATGCACAAACACCACACCACACTCACATATACAGGAGAGGGGGAAATGTCCTGTTAGTTCATATACGAAGATCTTTGGGGCCCAGGGAGATAGTTCAGTGAGTAAAGTGTTTTCTGAGGACCTGAGTTCTGATCCTGTC